CAGCTTCCTAAACCTTTAAACCCTAAGCCCTAAACCCTAAGCCCTAAGCCCTAACCCCTAAGCCCTAAACCGCTGTGGAGTCGGGTGGTCGGCTTGCACAAAAACGAACTATTCAGACCCCTACAGCCCATTGAAACCCAGGAGACCCTTATAGAACCCTAACCCCTAAACCCTAAATCGTGACCCCTAGAATCCTAAACCCTAAATCGTGACCCCTAGAACCCTAAACCCTAAACCCAAAAGAGAAACGGAAACCATACCCACAGAAGAACCTTTAGGAAACCCTAAACCCTACGCCCAAAAGAGAACCTGCCCCAAACCCTACCTATAGTCTCCATTGTAGTTCCTTTTTGGAGTTACCTTTTAGGATCCTTAGTATAGAATTGGTTAAACCAAAAAAGGAACTACAGTGGAGACTATAGGTAAACCCTAAAACTGCCCTGGCGACTTCGGGTCCTTCAGAAGCGCGGCAAAGGCGAAGCGAGTGGCAACCACTCGCTGCACGCCCCGCAGCTGCCTCTTCACGGGGTGAAAGTTCAAGGGGCTTAGTGTTTCTATGGTTTACCTTAACCCCAAGGAACCTATCTTTTTAAGGACTTAAAAAGGGAAATCATAATAAGGAACCCTAAAACGGTAGGTGGGGGTTTAAGGTTGAATTGAGGGTTTACCTGCAACTCTTTTTACCTACAGTTTAGCAGCCATGACGCCTTAATTAGTAGGTAGAACCCATAAAACTGTAGGCAATTAGAGTCCCAGGTAGGGCCTTCTAATAAGTGTCTATGTAGTTCTAAAGACTGGAGTTTGGGCTTCAAGTGCTTTTTGTTCCTCTGCTTCTTTGTGGTGTCTATCGTCTTTTGCGGGCTCTTTGGAGGTGTGGGATGGCAGAGTTCTTCCAAACTGTTCGGATTTTTGGGGCTCTCAGCGTTCGGGGTTTTTCGGGTTTTTAGGGTTTTGGGGGTTTAGGGTTTAGAGTTTGGGGTTTAGGGTTTTTAGGGTTTAGGGTTTGGGTTTGGGGTTTGGGGCTTTTAGGGTTTAAGTCTTTTTGGGATCTGTGGCGATCTGTGGCAATGCGAACCTCCTTCAGCAACACGCGCCAGCATGATTCGCTGGAATGCCCACCAGCCATACGTAGGGCGACGTAGGGTGACTTGAAGCGGTAATGCGCCTGGTTTAATGTTATCCAGTTATCCGAGACTAGCTGTAAAATTAACGTAGGACCATGAGGCTTCCCGCTAATTCAAGACTCGCAGAGCTTCTTGAAGTTTGAACCCTACGCCAAGTTTAGGGTTTAGGGGTTTGGGGGTTGTGGGTCTGTGTGGTTGCATCAAGAGACTTCGGACTTCGGACCCTCACGCTCGAAACCCTGAACCCGGTTCCCTAAAGCCTGCAAGCCCTACCTGAACTCTATACAGCTGTACCCGATAATCCCCAACGCCTAAGTCCTAAGAACCTTTTAAATACCGTAAACCCTAAACGCAGCACAGTAGAGACTAAACTGTTGTGCAGAATGTCGCCGTTGAGGTCTTCTGAAACGAAAGCTTCGATTCTGGTCATACGTGGTAGTACGGTAGTTGTGCGTTTTCTTGGTGCTTTGTGGGTTTCTTTCAGGGTTCCTGACACCGGGGTTTCGGTTGAAGATTTGCGTAAGTGTTCAAGATTTGAGGCGTACAGCATATCATGAGCTATTCAGGACTTCACTACGTACATCAGAACTGGAGGCTTCTTGCAATTCAGGTTTAGGGTCTGATGTTCAAGCTTTTGGCGTTTATGTGGTTTAGGTTTGGGGTGTCTGCAGCGGTATCTGCGAGGACGGCACAGGGTCGTTCCGGAACCATCAGTCACCTACACATCATTCTCTCGCCTGCGAACACCAAGAAAACACCAACGAAAGACAACACAACACAATGGTGGTCCGGGTTTGGGGTCTCGTGCTCCGCAGCATGTCTAAGGCAGAAGCTCTAACACCAAACGTCGGTTGTCCACGGAGGCCTTCAAATCTGCAGTCCAAGACTGCAAATTTTGCGTCACCATCGCGAACCCGAAAGGACCTCTTCAGAATTCTTTCTGCTGGCATGTGGTTGAGGGCTCCAGCAAAGGTATGCGAGAGCGCGACAGGCTTTGGCGGTTGGGGACTGGGATTGGCGAAGGATTTCAGGCTGCGGAGGCACGGGTTACTTTAGCTCAAGCTGGACCCTGCCTTCGGAATTAAGGAGAGGTTCTGGGCCAACTGTTTTGTGTAGTTTTTCGCAGGGTACGTGCTTAGTAAAGGCGCAGATGTAGTCATGACGTTTCGAAACAGAAGGGATCATGCTAGGCCCCAGACCTGAATCAGAAGAAGGTTGCTTTATGAGGTCCGCAAGCCGACACCCCGATGAGCCTTGAGCCTAATGGTCTTTGGGAGTTTAGCGGTTTAGGGATTAGGACTTCGAACCCCGAGCTGTGGCTCAGTGTTTCCCAGGGTTCAGGGTTTAGAGTCATGTTGTTGTTGCCAGGAATGGACTATCCGCTCGTCGCCGTGTCCAAAGAGTTCGAGACTATGACTGGATACTTAAGGCCGGTGGGGGACTGACAAAGATCGCAAAGCCTGCAAGGCCCGAGTCGTAACCCGAGCTGGTGGAGCAAGTTTCGTTGATGTGAGACCAGCAAAACATAGCAATTGCTACCGCTCCAGCCGGCGATTCCCTCGGGATACCTAGCAAATCTCTTGCTTCTCTTCCTCAGTACCGGGTGGAGCACGGCTCCGGAATTGCGCTTGCCTGGGAGTCTTCAGGGGAATTCGTCGATTCAGATGTCGCATACACTGTTCAGGGGAATTTAGATTCAGATGTTGCATACATGGAAGCCATGCGGTACAGAGCAGGCTTGACATGTTTACGCCCAATGCCTGACAAGCAACCGCTCATGAAAGTTGACAAGCTGATGCCGCAGGCTAAAGCCTATCAAGCACAAACTCCGAGCCCTCAACTCTAAAGGATGTTGCCTTTTGCAGGAGCGAAATCCTCGGCGTGAACTGCCGTTTCCTCAATCAGGCATCTCCGACTTCTACAGAGGAAGTAGTTTCAGGTATGTGCAGCAGTGCCCACTTTACTGATCAGCATCTGTAGTTTCGACAGCCTTTCAGGGCTCCTTGGAGGGTTCCTTTGAGGGCCTCCGCAGCAGGCTAAGATCTTTGCCTTCAGAAACTGCACCGTGTAGCCGTAAAGGTTGTCATAAAGCCGAAAGCCTGAACATCTACAGCCCGCAAGCAGCACACCCGACATGCCCATCTACCCTGAACCCTAAAGCCCTACGACCCCCAAATTTCACACCACAGTTCCGGAACCGAGTCACTTCCGAAGAGGAGGTCGCAGTCACAGAGAGCCTTAATATCCTGCAAAAAAGCTAGATACCTGGAGCCCTGGCCTCTACCGCCCCTGAAAGTGCGGGTTTGAGTCGTGCTTTAATCCTGAAGCTCCGTAAGGATGTTTGGCACGCCCTGCACAGACTAGTCCCTTTGGTGGCCCAGCCGGAGCCCTAACACGTAAAGGGGTCAGGGTTTAGGGAAGTTGAGGGTGCTTGAAACCGAAAGCGTTAATCATGCGCCCGAGACATGTTTCGGGTTGAACTCCTGATGCCCCGCAACTGCGGCGACAGGGGGTCGACATGGATCCGCACGACTTGATGAACCTGCGAATTGCAAGCCAGACAGGCTCTTGGAGTTCTAGCATCTACTTGGTGGTTCAATCACCGTAGTTGACCTTAGACCTTTATGGGGTGTTTACTGTGAACCCCTACATAATCCGAAAGCTTAGCCTGCACACAGCTTAGCCTTGATTCCCTAGTTCATGCCAAGGAACTTAAGCATGCTGCTTACTTTAGGCATCGAGTTTTGCTTCAGGGTTTTAGGCTTTGCTGCGCAGGCTTCGGGGTTTATAGGACTTCGAGGCTTCTTTTCAGGTGTCCGCTGAGGATCTTTGGTCCAGGCAGCAGAGTCCAACATTCTGATATGTAAATCCCTATTAAGCCCTCAAGCCGAAAATCCTAAAGCCCGAAATGTTTCCCGAGCTGTGGGGTTCGAGCGAAGCCTCATAAGCTCGGCGCATGTAAATTGAATGAAGCTTTCGAAACGCCTTGATGTCGACCTCTGATTAATGCACCAGCTTTTGTTTAAGGATCCTAGTATGGGTTTGCGAAGGTGGCTAACAGTCGGTTCGTAGGGTTTGGAGTTTCGCATCCAGGGCTTGTCTTTCTGGTGGAAATTGTCGCCCAAGGTGCTAAGCGTCTTGACCACGGGTGAATACAACGTAAGATGATTCTTTCTGATACCCTAATGTCGTTGCGGCAGAGAAACCCCACAACCCTAATGAAAGGATGATTTACATCGGCCCCGACAGTCATATATCCTGCAACACGCTAAAATACCCTAGAGGGACTTACAAAACCCAAGCCATGTGGACCATAAATGTCCTAAGCCTGAACCGTCATAAATCCCTCAGAGTAACCCGTATCGAAACCCTGACTGTAAGTACCCGAAAACCCCCCGGAAGCCGAAGCTTCATTCTGATCTCGGCTCGAGAAAGCCTCTAGCATAGACTCGAGGCACAACCGGAGCCAATCAGGGCCTTTGGGGCTTTGGGGCTTGGTTTAGGGTTAGGACAGTGACCGTAGGGTTTTTGGGTCTTAAGGTTTCTGGTGTAGAGTAGAGTTTGTGGGGGTTTTGAGTTTAGTGTTTAGGGTTGTGGGTTAGGGGTTGTAGGTTGCTAGACAGGGGCACAGCGAGATTTCGTCAGGCTATTCGGGCCTTGTAGCCTTGGGGTTCGAGATATCGCAGCACGACTCGGGTATTGTCGTGGTCATGGGGCGGCATGAAGTGTCCCGTCCGTTTGCGGTGAGGCCAAGAGTATCAGTTTAACAGCACAGCGCCGGTAGCTCTATCGGTAGCTAATTCGTCTTTGATACTTCCTAGAACCTCAAATCCGAAACACTCTAAAGCCCGGAAGCGTGTCTAGTTCCTAAAGACCATGAAGGGTGTGCGGCTTTGCGGAAGCAAGTTACGCGCCATGGGACGCAGCGCAATCATTCCTCTCCTTGTATCTGTTCTGTGGTGGCTCTGCTTGTGTGACTGTCGAGCCTTCACTGGGCCGGCCGCTCCTGCCAAAGTAGCGGGACTTCCACGCTCTGCGAGCAAGAATCCGCTCAGATTGCCCAATGAGCCGAACCCTTTCGACTTGTTCGGCGTAAAACGCGGCACCGAGAAGGCGGAGATCCGGACGCTCTGACATGCTACGAGTACACGCTTTTCTTTTGAAACCTCAGCCCGAGCTCTTCAAAGCCCCGAGCCTCCAATCCCAAAGTTACAATGTTATTGAGGCTTCTAAGCTTCTTGTGCATGAGACGAAGGACAACAAAAACAGCACGTGAACCAAAGGATCTCTCAGTTAAGTTTGTACGGAATCCCTCCAATGAAAAGAACAGGAAACTCTTTCGCAAGCGGGTGCAGACTGAGCATCCTGACGTGAATCCTAATGACCCCGAAGCGGCGGAGAGATTTCAAGAGCTGGTGGGCGCTTACAACTCGATCATGGGCAGCTTGACAAGCAAAGGTTACTCACGGAGACTGCAGTCTTCATGTAGTCTCGTTGTGATGTGACACCAGGTTGAACTGCCACTGTCTTTCCGAAATTAGACGTGTCACAGACGTGTGTTCTGCACCTTGACAGATGCGGCTTCAGGGTTTTGTGGCTAAGATGGGTGTCAACGCCCAAAGCTCTAGCTCTAGGACTCTAGGACCTTGGGTAAACAAGTGGGATCGTTAGGGGTGCTACTGTCAGTTTGGGGGACCGCGAGGATCCGGTCCTGGGCCCCATCAGGGTCCATATCAAGAGACTATGTTACTACGTTCTTTGCAGTCTACTACTTTGTAAGGGTCTGTGTTGAGGGACAGTTTTTTGGGGCCTGAAAGTATGTACTAGTAACATTGACATGCTCGCGGCCGGGCGATTGCTGAAGTAACCTGAACACTTATTTCTGAAGTGTGAGGGTCCTGTTGGCTCCAGCTGTTCCTGCGTTTAGACTGATGGCAGCAGACTTACATTTTGACAGCACAACCCGCATCACCATTGCTAAACGACCGGTTGCGTCAACCGAAGTGGCAAAATACTTGATAATGGGAACAGTAGTGGCCATCAGGTGACGTGTTGACTTGAGCATGAAGTGAACAGGTCCTTTAGATTCTGTCAAGGGCACCTGCTTGATGGGAACAAAAATCTTGGGCTTTTGCTTGAGTTGAGGAGTAGGGTCCAGGAGTAGGGGATGCAGACCGGATACACGGGACACAGCTTTGGCCTGCTTCTTCGAGCCCATCCTTGATCCAGCATGACTTCCAGATTCCACATCGGGCTTGTTAGAAACTTGCTTCACGCCTATGCAGACTGCAGCACATCAGCAGTACATGTAACAAGGCTCTGGTAAATCCCAGAGTTAGCAACCTCTCAATGTAACAACTTTTATATCAATCAAATAATATTTGATTACAAACCTTGACCCACAGTAGACCAGGACAAAGCCCATGAAGAAAGCAGAAACACCCAAACCCAGCCTACATCTGAAAAGCGCCCCCTTCACAACATCTGATCCACTGCCCCCCCCGCCTCCGCCCCGAGGTGATGAGCTTCTACCTGACGAGCTGAATTTCGTGCGAGTGCAAATGACCAAGCGATACAAGAAAGAGCTAGAGGCCGATCAGTCTGTCACTTGGATATACGATAGGGGCCGGAATAATTACCAATACTATTTTGGGGGCTCCTTATTACAATTATAGTCTAATATACCCCCAAACAAAATTCTAATTCATAAGGCCCCTATAGTACTCAGGAGTGAGTGGTGATAAACGCATCAATGTTGTCATGGAGCATCACTACCAGAAGCAGTAGTTCTAGCACTGGCAGGAGTAGCAATAGCCCTTGCGCGAATGATCTCCACGGTAAATATACCGTAGCACAGGAATAAACCAGCAGCGGAACGGTTCCGGGCGGGAACCCAGCCGTGGTTCTAGGGAAATCAATGCACAGGGTAGCCACGGCCCGACAAGCTAGGCAACATCTCATCTCACATAACTTGCAAATTAATGCAATGGTGAAGAGTTTCATGCTGCGGTGCATTACCGACCACAACAATATTTCCGTAATAACTCCGTTACTTGGACCGCACTGCGCACTACGAGTCCATCAAGATCAGTTTGAACTACCCAGGTGACGACTAGTGACCAAGACCTCAGTCGTCTTTATGAGGAAGAAAGCTGTATCTATGATTCGGTTCAGTTTTATAAATGTGCACACCAGGCCCAGCAAAGGCTGCACATGTACAGTGCCAGACATCAAGTCGTTGTTTGCATGTCACTGACACACGAAAAACAAGCGACTTTCTCAAGCTCTTGTGCATCTGCAACAAGTTCGCGGCGGTTTATCCGCGTCAGCTGTTGTTTGATTTCTCTTACTCTTTCGCGAGATCAAGACTTCTCAAAACTTAATCGCGGTGTTCACAAGTAAGTTGACCAACTTGGCTAGCCCGCTTACATATGACCAAGCACAAGCTTGATCAGGACAATAGGTTCCTCTGTCGGTATCCATAGCTTCTTTCCGTCAGCCGCTTTGTGTAAATTTCAGAGAATAAGAGCCGATCTTGAAACTAAATCCTGTGCACGCAACGGTTTGGGGTTTCAGGCTTCAGAGCCGAAGAACCCGAGCCGTGATGCTCAGGTCAACAACGGAATCTTCTATGCACTGCTTCCTGGGATGGCAGTAACAGTCATCGGCATATGGTTTTTTGCGATGGATGCACTGGGGATGCTTGACCCTCAGACAAAGCAGCTGCTGGACGCAGTGAAGGGCAAAGGCATTTAGGATTGCTGTTGAGTCAAGATGCTACCTGGACTACGGGAAACCTAGGCTCCGAAACCCTAAACCTGGCATACACCTGGACCCTGAACCCTTATTGAGCTTAATCCTCGAAGCTCTACACCGGGGACGCCCAGCCCAAAAAGATGGAGAGACAGACAGAGGCAGAGTCAGTCAGTCTGTCCCCAAGGCTAAAGCCCCAGAACCCTGAACCGGGACAGTTTCGGGTTCGATTTTCAGGTACGTAGGCCACCCGAACGGGATTTAAGAGCATTTGTTGACGATCATGTTTAGCAGGGCGTCAGCGGCCAAAGCCTAGAACACCTCCGAGCCCTAAACCTCAGTGTCAGAGATACCTCATGGTTTGCCTTAATAACTACCTATACTATTTTTTTTTGGGGGGGGGCAATGTAAAAAAAACGTAGCATAAAAAATACCCCACAACCCCATTCTAATTATCAAGGCCCCTACATTATGCTGAGGAGATCGACTCCTTAAAACAACCCTAAGCCCCATAGACTTATAAACTCTGCAAGCCCCGGAAACTCCCTGATTCCCTGAAGCCTAACCTAAACTCCCTAAACTCCTAAAACCCCCCTAAATTCCTAAAACCCCAAATCCCCTAAGCCCCAATAGTCGGGTTGCAGTGTCCTGGCTCCAATCTGTTGACTGATTGCTGTGATGCTTTTCCTGACCAAGATATCGGCAAAGGAAAACACGCAGGGTTTAGGGTTTAGAGTTCAGGGCTTAGGTTTAGGGTTTAACAGGGGTTTGGGGGTCAGGGTTTACGTATACGCATAAGACATGGAAGAGTCCTGAGCATCCAGGAGTTTGCGAGGTTTGATTGGGCTCCAGATCTCATTGCAGTATTGAACAAGTCTGAACAAGGGTAGGAGTTTCTGCGAAGTTTGTGGCGCGTTTGTTCCGAGTTTCCGGATAGCCCGACAGAGAGGAAACACGTCTTCCTACCACCTGGACCCATCCAGCCATACAGCCGGAAAGACAGAAATCCTACCATCTGGGAGGCTGCAAAGTTCGGTCCTGGTAGAGTCTAGAGACAAGTCCATTCAAAAGCCGCTGTGTGGGCTTCCATGTCAGTTCCAAGGAGAAACCCCAAAGCAGGAAGGGTCATCAGAGGGAGGCGCCAATCTTTCACGGATCGTGTGCGGAGTCCTCGGAGCACTTATCCGGAAAGAGCATGGTCCTAACATGAGGCAGAAGTGGCACAAGGACAAGGAAGCGAAGACCGTGCACTTTAAAAAGTGTACCTGTCAGACATGCCCCTTAACTTCCAAGCAGCCTGGCCACAAATCCTTAGCCCAACGACCAGGTTTAGGACGATTTGCAGTTCAGGGTCAGGCGCAGAGTAGGCTCAGTAGCTCAGCAGCTGACAGGTCGGAAAAGGTTGGAATTTTGAGCACGATGGAGTCCCACTGTAATGAAGTTAGCATTTCCGTGTACCAGGGAACAATCAAGGACCGTCCTAAGCGTTTTTTTTTTTCGGAGGCTACCCGAAACCCTAAACTCCACCATAACCCCTCAGACTCCGCTTGATTAAGGACATACAACGAAGTCTTCAAGGATTCCTGCAGATGCATTCTAATCCCGATTTACCCTGCCTTCGGGAGGCGCGCCCTTCACTGCCGTCATACCGAACCGCAAGAAGTCCGGGGAGCTCTTTCTGAACCTGTCGGAGAGCTCAGATGGGTGCGTTTTGGGATAAGTACTCGGCGTTCTTTTCTTGAAGTCTTGTTGTCAAGACCGAGTGTGTTTTCTTATGTGTGCTTGTGCAACGCACGGCTTTAAGGGGCAAAACGAAGTATACTTGCAAGGTTATAAAGTTCTAAGGCTCTCTAAGGTTTCGAAACTTAGGCTTGGGGGGTGTTGGGTTGGGGGGGTTGTTCAGGTCTAGGGTTTGAGGCATACGGTTTGGGGTGCAGTGTTTAGGGTGGATGTAAGCACTCAAACACCCCTGGCTGCGTCTCTAGTGTTTGGCATTCTCGCCTGAGGGTGCTAGGAATGTGGGATGCCCGAAGGCCCTGAGTCCTAGACACTGCTGTAGCTCACCTTTTTGGTAGGGTCACGCGACTTTGATTTGAGAGTGTGCATGCAAACCCACTACTTCTCGCAGTGTAGATACCCAGCCGCGTGCGAGCCTGCGTCCGCGGTATGTTGCAGGCTCAAGCTTGAAGTGCAAAACTGGGCCCGACCTGACCCGTACAAGGGCCGGACCGGTAAGTAAAGATAAGCAGTACTGTTTTCTGGGTTTCTCACTGGGAACTCAGTATCCTCATGCCCGAAAAAATGCCAACACTGATCATCTTATTCCCGCTACTAGCTTTAAAAGGTCTACAGCAGGATGGCAAGCGTAAACCCTAAGCCCCAACCCTAAACCCTAGTCTACTTGTTCAGGCTTCGATCTTAACCGTCATGTCTACACAGAGACTCGAGTATGCCATTGCCCCAGCACCCCTGGTCGAAGGGTTAGAGCCCTATGGCCTGCTCTGCTAGACAAGACCTCAGCCTCAGACCCTTCGAACTTGAGGGTGTAGGGGTTAGGGGCTTAGGGGTTCGGGGTTTAGGGGCTTTGGGGTTTCGGGGTTTCAGGGATTTAGGGTCGGGGGGTTTAGGATCCCATTAGGATCCCAACCAAGCCCCAGGCCGGAACGTTACGGTTTAGGACTTAGAAGCTCTAGCTTTCAGGGTTTGGGATGTTAGAGGTTTAGGGTTTTGAAGTTTTTTTGGGGGGGGGTTTCTAGCATTTTAGGTTCAGCCTGTGCGACTTTAAGGTTGTAGGGTGTGGTGTCTGCGATGCTGCAAGCCTTTCCAGAAAACAGCGGGCCCTAATCTAGACCCAACAGCACATCAGGATGCTTGTCGGAAGGAGCCCTAGATGAGGTTCCCGTAGTTTTGAGAAACTATGCTTTCTTTTTTTAATGCACCTCTAACCCCGCAACCCTCAAATCCTCAAATCCCTTATCTGGAGACAGGTTGGACGTGCGGGGCCTGACGGTGGCACGAGAGACTAGGAGCCACATGGGTTCGGTTCTTGCCGGCTTCACGTGTGGGTTGAGGGTTCAGGGGTGTTTGAGTTTTGGGGGTTACGGGCTTGGGGCTTTGGGTTTAGCGCCAGGCTGGTCCGGGTGCCGTTTTCGATGGCCACAGTTAAGATTCGAATTTGGCTTCAGGTTTGCTTCAATCTGTGGGGCTCAAGTTGAGCGATTATCCCCGAATCCCAAAGCCTATAAACCCAGAGCCATTTCCCCCCCCCCCCCCCAGGTTCTGCAGCTGCCGTAAGCTTGTCGGTACGAAGACCTCCGAACAGTCCGAACCCACAGAAATCCACAAGCTACTGTACCGCGTCCATCGTCCGTGTCTTATCACAAAGATTTTCCGGGAAACCTGCCCTCAAAGCTGAAGAACCCAAACCTGAAGCTTCTCAAACAACACCCCAAACTTGGCCCCAAAGCCCCTTTTAATCCCCAAAACCTCCTCCCAGTAGGACCTAAGCCCCATAAGCACTCATAGGTGATCCCAAGCCTCAAAATTGGGAAAAACAATCCAAAGCCCCGAAGTTCCATCCAGGACGGGCGAGGACCTTTGGTATTTGATTGGCATCCAGGCGGGAAACCGAGAGGTTTAGAACATCTTGAAGCTTTCGGGTTTAGGCGTTTAGGGTTCAGGGTCTTGTTAGGCTTAGATAGGGTTTAGGGCTGTGTGCTTTTGGGGTCTGAGCTCTAGAACTTTACGGCTTATGGCGGCTTGGTTGCAGGCTCTTGGGGTGTTGAGGCCTGAAGTGTTTGGGGTGACTGGGCCCTTTCGCGCTTGCGGATTTCGGGTGCAGCTTTACTTCGGAGAAGGCGTCTGTGGCTTCCCTGACACTTCTTGAGCGAAACTGCGCTGCGAGAAATGGATCTGTCTGCGGACTACAAGCTGTCTCGTCTCCAAATTCCATTCATCCCCAGAAAGTCAATTTTGTCCCTATATCATTATACTCCATAAATCATATCCTGCTCCAGTCATTGAGGTCCTTACAGTAATCCTCTACAGTGCCCGGAAAGATTCCTTGAAGAAGCCCCTATGGCACCCTTCAAGAAGCCCTGTCCCTACTTCGGATCTTATGGTCCGTCGAGGCAGACGTGTCTGAACTCGGCGAAGAGGACATGCCAGACGATCACTTCGATGAGCTTCAGGACAGCACTGGGTCTTGAGTTCAGTCGGTGGAGTCTAAAGGGTTCAGGGTTTAGGATTTGGAGTTTAGGGTTTAGGGTTTAGGGCTTTAGGATTTAGGGTTTAGGGTTTAGGGTTTCGGATTTGGTCTTTGGAGTTTGGGGCCTAGGGTTTAGGGTCTAGGAGATTTGGTCTTTGGAGTTAAGGGCTTAGGGCTTTTGGCCTGGGGAGTTTACAGTCTAGGGCTCGTTCCTCTGTGTTCAGCCCTTCGGGCTGGATGGAGTCAACCTCGAGATCAAGACTGGGTGTTCCTTAGGAGTTGGGCTTCACATCCCTGAGCCCGAAACCCTAAACCCTAGCGGCTGCAATCTAAACCCGATACGTTAGCTGAACCCTAAACCCTAATCCCTGAACCCTCCAGAGACGCATGGTTGTCCTTCTCTGAACATGGGAGTTCCAGAACACTGCGGTATCTCAATTTGGGGAGAGGAGGGATCGTTGTCATGAGGTCCTGTGGCTTAGGCTGCTATGTTAGGGTCCCTCAACCTTCCGAACGCCCTGTACCGAAGTCATAAAAACTAGAGGTGTCTCAATCAGGTTCCTGCATTAATTCGCACTTCGCCTGCAGCGTGATCCTTGCTATCCATTTACGAGATTCCTTCTTTCTCTGGGTCCTTGCTCAGGAACGATTTTTAAGATGTCATCGTGGGGTTTCTTGAAGACAAACCCTCTCTCATCGTCATATGAGGTTTTTTTCCACCCCAATAAGACACAGCCATGCAAACCTTCTCACACCCGTTAGAACCACCTTGAGCTAAGCTTCAGGGTCCCAGCGC